ACAAAGAATAATTAAGTTAGAAGATTCACTCAACATCATGACATCAACTATTAACTGCCCATCAGTGAAACCCAACCCAACTAACAGCGAAAGCAGAAATTTACCGCAAACTACTGATGTTGAATCATTTATAACAGAAATGGAAGATAGGCGTTCGAGAGCTAGAAATGTGATTATCTATAATTTGAATGAATCAACAAGATCCACACTCACTGATACAATTACGGACGATAGTGACAACGTTTCATCGATTTTGAGGTCCTTAGTTAACAATGTTAACATTAAGAAAATATTTCGAATTGGCAAAAATAATGACAACAATAGTAAACCTAGACCTATTAAAATAATACTAAGCTCTGAATCTGATGCTATTAACATCTTAAAAAACAAAAGTAAACTCGATGAGAATATGCATATTCAAATAAGATCTGATCTAACTTTTCAGCAACGTGCATTTCTAACTAAACTAAGAAACGAGCTTTCTGAAAGAATATCAAATGAAGAAAATAACATAACTATTAAGTATGTAAATGGAATTCCCAAAATAGTGCAATCAAAAAACTAATAACTAGTCCTACTTGTCAACACTCTATCAAGCAAACTATAAATTCAAATAATCATCTTAGTATTTACTATCAAAACGTCGGTGGTATGCGAACTAGGCTAAGAGAATTAAGACATAATGTGCTACTTAGCTCCTATGATGTTATAATCCTAGTTGAAACTTGGTTAAATACTAACTTCTCAGATGCAGAAATTGGACTTGATAATTTCGTCATTTATCGTACTGATAGGAATCAATTAACCAGCTCAAAATCGAGAGGGGGTGGAACACTTATTGCAGTAAAAAATACATTGCAGTCAATACGTTTGAACACTGACGCCACTGTGGAACATGTCTTTGTATATATTGGAAAACCTAAATCTCATAATTCTATTATTCTTGGTGCTACTTATATACCACCCGGAACTGACAGTGAAACTTATTCTATTCATGCTCATAGTGTTGAGGACTTAATAGTGCGGAATCCTGATGTAAATATGTATCTCTTTGGTGATTACAACCTTTCACTGGCTAGGTGGGAAATTGTTGATAATGTTTTAAATGTAAAGTGCCCTCCTGACTACCAAGAAGTTACTCTCTGTGAAATGTTCTCTTTCCTTAACTTATATCAAATTAACTCTATACCTAACAATCACAATGTATTTCTAGACTTAATTTTTACTCAATATCCTAATTCTATTAGTCTGGTGGAAGCTAATGATTTATTATTACCTAATAACTACCACCATGTTGCTCTTGTGGGTACTCTATCACTATCTGTTAATTGTAAAAATCTCCAATATGCGGAACATTACTATGATTTTAAAAACGCTGATTATAGAGGTTTGAATAACTATTTAGCACCAATTAATTGGGAAAAAATTCTCATTGAAACCAATATTAACTCAAGTATAACTAAGTTTTATCAAATAATCAATAATGCATTAGCCCTATTTGTCCCAATAAAACTACGAAAACAATCTACTTTCCCGGTTTGGTTCAGTCCTGAACTTAAACAACTTATCTGGCAAAAAAAGAGGGCTAATGCAAAATACAAAAGTACTTCCAATTATGACGACTATTTACAATTTTCAAGTTTAAGATGCAGGTGTAAGACTTTATCCAATGAGTGCTATGCTATTTATATAAACAATGTTAATAGGTCAATTTCAAATGATCCACGTCAATTCTGGTCTTACTTTAATTCAATAAAAAAAAGTTCTCAACTCCCAGATCAAATGACACTGGACGACAAAATAGGTAACGATGGTAAATCTATTTCTACGCTATTTGCTGAATATTTTTCTAAAAATTATATTATTAATCATAAATTAAACCCAGATAACTATCATTTAAATTTTTCCTCCTCAGTTGATATTGGACCCATATGTTTTTCCATTGAGGATATATTTAATGGTATTGGTTCCTTAAGTGATAAACTAAGTAGTGGTCCTGATGGAATTCCATCGTACTTCCTAAAACATTGCATTTACTCTTTATGCAAACCACTACATATAATGTTTAATTTATCACTAAAACTTCAACAATTTCCTAACTCATGGAAAGAGAGTCATGTTATACCTGTATTCAAAAGCGGATCCAAGCAGGAAATTCAGAACTACAGACCTATTTCGATTCAATCCTCGATTCCAAAATTATTGGAGAAGCTGGTAAATAATTGTTTATCTTGGCACTGCAAAAACTTACTTACTGATCAGCAGCACGGTTTTACAGAAGGAAAATCTACTACAACTAATCTTGTTATTTATCACAATTACATAATAAATTCTGTAGAGAACGGTTTGCAAGTAGATGCCATATTATCAGACTTTTCTAAAGCCTTCGATCAAGTTAATCACGAATTACTATTACTCAAACTGCAAGCCTACGGATTCCCTCCCTTTCTTCTAGAGTGGCTTAAAAGTTATCTCATTGGTAGAGTGCAGCGTGTCAAAATAAAGAATTATTTGTCTGATCCCATAGAAGTTTCTTCTGGTGTACCGCAAGGGGCCCACTTAGCTCCATTACTTTTTAATCTATTCATTAATGATGTTGGATCTGTTTTTGAATATAGTAGTTATCTGCTATTTGCTGACGATTTAAAGATTTACTTAAAGATTAACAGTGGTGATTGCTGTAATAATATTGAAAAACATTTCCATGCCTTATGTAAATGGTCTTCCTCTAATGGTCTAACCCTAAACACTAGTAAGTGTTACTGCATTACTTTTACAAAAAATCATAATCAAATAACACATAACTACTCTCTGAATAACAATACATTAATTAAACGTGTTACCGAAATTAAAGACCTGGGAATCGTATTTTGCTCAGATCTTTCGTTTAATAATCATATCAATCTTATAGTTAATAGAGCAATGAAAATGTTAGGCATGCTGATAAGAAACTCTAGCTCGTTATCTTTAGATGCCTGTAGAATAGTTTATATTGCATATGTGCGGTCCATTTTGGAGTACAGCTCTACCACATGGTGTCCATTTTACATAAACTCTGTAAAAAGGATTGAAAATGTCCAAAATAAATATCTACGATATTGTGCCTTTAAAGTTGGTCTAGCAGCAGGTACATATAATTATTCCACAATTCTGGACTTAATAAACCTCCCAACCCTTGTTAATAGAATAATATTGATGGATCTATCATTCCTCCATAAGATCATAGCATATAATGTGCGAAAAAAAATCGAAAAATCGTGTGTGCGTGTGTGTGTGTGTGTGTGTGTGTGTGTGTGTGTGTGTGTGTGTGTGTGTGTGTGTGTGTGTGTGTGTGTGTGTGTGTGTGTGTGTGTGTGTGTGTGTGTGTGTGTGTGTGTGTGTGTGTGTGTGTGTGTGTGTGTGTGTGTGTGTGTGTGTGTGTGTGTGTGTGTGTGTGTGTGTGTGTGTGTGTGTGTGTGTGTGTGTGTGTGTGTGTGTGTGTGTGTGTGTGTGTGTGTGTGTGTGTGTGTGTGTGTGTGTGTGTGTGTGTGTGTGTGTGTGTGTGTGTGTGTGTGTGTGTGTGTGTGTGTGTGTGTGTGTGTGTGTGTGTGTGTGTGTGTGTGTGTGTGTGTGTGTGTGTGTGTGTGTGTGTGTGTGTGTGTGTGTGTGTGTGTGTGTGTGTGTGTGTGTGTGTGTGTGTGTGTGTGTGTGTGTGTGTGTGTGTGTGTGTGTGTGTGTGTGTGTGTGTGTGTGTGTGTATGTGTGTGTGTGTGTGTGTGTGTGTGTGTGTGTGTGTGTGTGTGTGTGTGTGTGTGTGTGTGTGTGTGTGTGAACCGATACGCAGAAAAACACCATATTTTAAACTTAAGCTTTGTTCCAGCGTCCAATAAACTGATTAGATTTTGAGCAGAGTCGGAACATCTGGGGGGTACTTTATTTTTATATTTTATGCAATATATCTGTTATTTACGTTTAAGGAAGAAAATTCTTTAAATAAAAGTTACTTCTTATATTATTATCTATAATTTTTGTTTTTTACAAAATTTTCCTAAAATGGTCCGTATTCAAGAAATTTGACAAAACGTAAAAAAATTTGTTTGTAATATAATTCTCTATAATTTTTATTTTTTAAATAATTTCTCTAAAATGGACCGTATTCGGGAAATTTGAGAAAATTGTAAATTTTGAAATTTGAAGAAAACTCAAAAACGGATAAAAAAACATTAAATTTAAAACTTAAGTTTTATTTTGGCCTGACGTGAACTGATTAGATTTTGGACAAAGTCGAAACATCTGGGAGGTTACTTTAAGGGAGGCCGTTTTTATATTCTATGGAATATATATTTTATGTTTGGAGAAAAAAATTGTTCAAATAGAAATTACTTCTAATATTATTATCTACAATTTTTGCTTTATGCCAAATTTTCCTGAAATGATCCGTATTCGAGAAATTGGACAGAATGTGCAAAATTCGAATTTTTAAGAAAATTGTTGAACTAAAAGTTGTTTGCGATATCGATCTCTATAATTTTTGTTTATACATGATTTTTCTAAAATGGACCGTAATGGAAAAATTGTAGGAAAAGAGCTAAATTTAAATTTTTCAGCATTTTCTTTGTCAATGAATATCTATAGAAAAATGTTTCGAGGTAGATGTATGTGGAAAATGTATATATTTAGTTTATCCTCTAAACATTTATAGAGGTGCTGCAATAGGTTGTACAAAATTACCAGAAAAAGCCTATAATAACTAGATAGGAAAGTCATGTGTTGAACACATCAGATTTTTCTTAAAAAAGTCAGCTACCACCTTTGTGCTTAGCACGGTAGCATAGTTTTTAGATATTCATAGGAAATATTTTAAAAGAGTTGTGATAATTGTTTATTTCACAAATAATTGTTTTTGTGCAAAAATTTTTGTTATGGTTATAAAAAGTAAAAAATTGTATTGAAGTCGGTTTAACAAACGGATATTATGTCAGATATGTATTTCCACTGTATATTCTGTTTCAATAACTTACCTATTAGAATAATTATAAACAGACATCGCCACATTTTTATTATAGTATTAAAAAGTAGTAAATACTTTCAATACTTAAACTGCCTATTATAAATTAATTCTTGTAATATAAATAATTACAAGTTCATTAATATATAGTGTGCCAAACAATTACATTTAGCTTTTCTTTTACAGTTGGCAACTTTTAAATATATCTTATTCAATCTTTCTTTTCCATCTGTCTTTTGGTTTTTAATTCCTCATCTTTTCTCTTCTATACGCTTCGATTGTTTCACTATATTTGAGTCTTTATATACTTGTATAACTTACTTTTTTTCAACAATTATCGCTCAATAACTATCCAAACAGTTATATGAAAATTAATAAAAAAATGTTTCTGTAAACAAATATTTCTGTGGCTTTTGGGAGACATATGATAACGCCAAAATTATTATCATGTACATGATATATTTTAATCAGATTACCAAACAAAAATTTAATCAAGTAGACTTATTGATATTTTATCAAAGTATAACAGATTTACTTGCAGTGCTGAACTTAACTTGAAACTTCATAAAAATGTTCATATTAGTGACATTTTTGGAGTTAACAATACACGTCTCAGTCTCGCAGATGCTACAGATTTGGTTTCCTTAAAAATATAGGGTGTCTGTAAATGGTCTTTACAAAAACATACCACATATTCCTTAGATCAAAATAAGTCGATTTAAGTAAAATTACCTCAGTACAAAGTTGCTTCGTTTGGGTTCCAGAGGGCCTTGAAGTTACAATTTTTAAATCGTTTTTCCCATATAAATTTAAAACGGCATATGCGATTTTGCTGAAATTTGGTATATTGGTAGAGTTTTATGTGGAAAATAAAAGGTATTAAAATTTTGTCCGATAATAATACATAGGCGTAGAACTTGATTTTTTAAATAATTGCACCTTTAAAAACTCTACGCCAATGGAAGAAAAGGAGTTTGAGTATAAAATTTAGATTGCGCAACTCATTTCCTTTAAAAAAGGTATTCTTGATAAGACTCAATTACTCTCATGGTTTTGACGAAATTTGCATTTTAGTAATTTTAGAACATAAACAATAATTATTAAAATACCTATGTATTATTATCGGACAAAATTTTATACGATGAAAAACATAAAAATGTACTTTTTTCATATCTTCTTCAATACCTCTAATCGAGACTTTTAACAAAAATACTCGATTCTTGGCGGGTACGATTTTTTGAGGAATATTAATTATTTGCCTGCAATACGTATATAAAAACATTTATTGTTGGTTTCCATAGTTTCATTTAAATAAAAATATTGTCAAGTTTTAACACCTAATCTCTTGTTAACGATTGAAAGTGTTCTATCTGACTCAATAATTAAAAAAACAAATTCGTGGTTTATTAATATGGCTGTACAATATACCAATGCAGAATATACCGATATGTTACTGACATTAGGATTTTGTGAAGGAAATGCTTGAGAGAGTGTCAGGGTGTACTCTGAAAGGTTTCCAAATTGTCGTGTACCTAGCCACCCAACTTTTGCTGCTGTTGAGAGACGTCTTCGGTAGACCGGTTCCTTTGCTCCCAACACTGTTGATAATGAAAGAGAACGTTTTGTTAGGATTCCTGAAGTTGAAGAAGACATTTTAGAAAGTGTTGAAGCAGATCCAGAATTAAGCACCAGACGAATTGGAAGGGAACTGAGAGTAAGTAAAGATGTCTTTCATAAAGTGCTTAGAGAACAATTGCAATATCCATACCATAAGAAGCCAGTACAAGAATTATTAGTCCATGATCCTCAAATTCGTTTGTGATTTTGTCGATTTGTTAATATGCAGAGATAAAGAGATCCAAACTTTGTCAAGAAGGTTCTCTTTACCGATGAAGCGGGTTTTACAAGAAGAGGTATAACTAATACCCATAATGAACATGTTTATGACGTTGAAAATCCGCATGCAATAAAGGTAAACCATTTTCAGCACGAATTCAAAATTAATGTGTGGGCTGGAATAATTGGTAATTTCATTGTTGGTCCTGTCATACTTCCACGAAGATTAACTGGAAAAAATTATTTGGATTTTCTACAAAATACGTTGCCAGAATTGTTAGAAGATTTACCTCTCCAACTTCGGAGAGATATGTGGTTTATGCAAGATGGAGCTCCACCACATTTTTCTTTAAACGTTAGAAACTACTTGAATGAACAATATCCACACAAATGGATAGGCAGAGGTAATGACGCACCTGTAAACTGGCCTCCACGTTCCCCAGACCTAACACCGATGGATTACTTTTTATGGGGACATCTGAAATCCACAGTTTACAGGGAACCTGTAGAAAATGAGGAACAACTCTGGCAACGTATTCAAGATGCAATAAACAATCTTAGAGGTGATGAAGAAGTTATGGAAAGGATACATTTTAATTTTCTTTGACGTATAAATCTTTGTATGCGTGAAAATGGTGAACATTTTGAACAATTTTTGTAAAATCTCTATTTTGATTATGTTGTAAATAAATATTTTTGTGAAACCTATACACTCTAAATTATTAAAACAGAAATTTAGCGAAAACCGTGAGAAAAATCGAGTCTTATCAAGCGTACCTTTTTTAAAGTAAATGAGTTGCGCAATTTCATACTCAAACTACTTTTCTTCCATTGGCGTAGAATTTTTAAAGGTGCAATTATTTAAAAAATCAAGTTCTACGCCTATGTATTATTATTGGACAAAATTTGAATACTGTTTTTTTTGCCACATAAAACTCAAAAAATCGTACCCGCCAAGAATCGAGTATTTTTGTTAAAAGTCTCGATTAGAGGTGTTGAAGAAGATATGAAAAAAGTACATTTTTATGTTTTTCATCGTATAAAATTTTGTCCGATAATAATACATAGGTATTTTAATAATTATTGTTTATGTTCTAAAATTACTAAAATGCAAATTTCGTCAAAATCATGAGAGTAATTGAGTCTTATCAAGAGTAACTTTTTTAAAGTAAATGAGTTGCGCAATCTAAATTTTATACTCAAACTCCTTTTCTTCCATTGGCGTAGAATTTTTAAAGGTGCAATTATTTAAAAAATCAAGTTCTACGCCTATGTATTATTATTGGACAAAATTTTAATACCATTTTTTTTGCCACATAAAACTCTACCAATATACCGAATTTCAGCAAAATCGCATATGCCGTTTTAAATTTATATGGGAAAAACGATTTAAAAATTGTAACTTCAAGGCCCTCTGGAGCCCAAACGAAGCAACTTTATACTAAGGTAATTTTACTTAAATCGACTTATTTTGGTCTAAGAAATATGTGGTATGTTTTTGTAAAGACCTTTTACATAATACTACATTAGGTTATCAAAATGGTTTTTTACTTGGGGTGTGCATCCTTAGCACTATTTAATTTTATCTATACCTCATTGGATATAAAAAAATGTCGGTGTACTCTTCTTTTATCTTTCAAAGGCTTTTGACCCGGTTAGTACTGGTATAGGTTTTCGCGGAAACTTTTTCATGGCTGACTTCATATTTGAAAACTATAAAAATTATTGTTAGGATTGAATATCGAAAATCCTTCCCCAAATTCTGAATATTGCTGTATCTCAAGGATATATTCTAGGACCTTTAATATTCCTAATATAGATTAATTATCTGCTATATTATGTTATCACTAATCATTTGACACTATATGCAGATGATATACCATATTATGTATATGTAATACCTCCAGATACTCCTTTTTTTTTAGTAAGATCCCGGTTAAAACAAAAAAAAAGTTTTGTACTTTTTATCAAATATATCTAAATGTTATAGATAATGAAATCGAATAAAACTTGTATTATAAGAAATATCTTCTCTAATCATAAATAAGAGAAATATATCAAATGTTATAAAAACGTCACAGTCGTACAGTCAAGACAACATATATAAAACAACATAAAATTACAAAAATCATTTATTTCAAGAGAAAATCAAAGACTTACAACATAATGAAAGTATTTTTATCTTAGAAAATATGTATGTATAATTCTTCTCTGCATTCATTTAATTTAAAAAATGCTTTTTTAGCTTCTTCGTGAAGTCAGTGACGCGATTGATGAAGTCGCGCCTTTATGCATTTGGATCAATGAGTTTGTTCCTTGTAGTTGTCTCGTTGACGGGTTTTATGATTTATGTGGCGTAACCACGGTGTAACTTTGAATGACAAATCTACTCGCACTTGAAAGGATAAACTCAAGATTATTTTGCATATATTGCTTACTTCCGGTGCGCCTGAATTTTTATTGGCATTTTGTTAATAAGAACTCGTGCTTGCATAATAGCGTATTCAGTATTTATTTACGGTTTTAAATATATGTCTTAACATTGTATATTTGGGGTCTTGCGAGTTGTAGTACCTTGCCAGCTTTCCGTAGGTTTGGCCTCCTTAGCACGAGCTTATGGATTTTGTGTTCTCTTATGTGTGGCCAGTGAATTTGGTGTTTATTAGTAATCCACCTGTTTACTACCTTTTTCGCACACCCTTTTACTGTTCTGGGTAATGTGGAATCATGCTTCTCTTCTAACCACTAAGAACGCCCTAAATATCAACCCCACCATCCACCAGAATCACCTGGTCGGTATATCATCAAGAATAATCGCGATATAATTGCCTGCCTCTCTTGCTCTGTCTGCATTCTCTTTTTGTTCTCCTTTATTTCATTAACAAAGTTGTGTATCGCGTCCCATTTTCTCTTAGTTTCTAGCATGTGCCTAAATAGATTATTTCTGCTCAATCTCTCTCCAAGCCTGGAGGTATAATTTGCCATCTTGGACATGCAAATAAAGTATGTTGCGGATTATCTCTATTTTCGCAGTACATGCAGGTGTCGTTTTAGCGTTTTTATACCTCTGGAGGTAAGCCCAAAAGCACTCAAGTATCGTCAATGCCTGCATTAGACTTACACTTACACTGTATCCACGTTTATGTCTGTAATACAATTCCTTTTCCATTGTACCACGTTCTCCACTACAAACCACTTCTACTGCCATATTTCTAGAGTTCT